TTCTCCAACATCTAGACCTTTCATAAAACAGAGGCCATGACCAAAGTAAAAGGGAGGCTTTCTCCCCTTTTTTTTTTGGGTAAAGCCCGAAGACCCATTTTGTCTGCTACAAGCTAGCACCATAGCAACAAAAACCCAAACCTTTCTCCTCATTCCCATCTTCTAGCCACCAACTACCATAGTTACAGATTTTCCAGCAGCTGCATGCATTTATAAAACTTTCTCCCAGTTGCTTAAATTTTCACCCACGACCTGAGTAGACGCAATAATTTCATCGGGTATAGAATTTTAAATCTACTTCTTAATTATCCTCTCTTTTTTCCACAAACGATAGAAGTACTCATTATGTACACCTAAATTAGGTAGTTCAAGTTCAACTACTAGCTCTATGAAGGATCTTATCACATATGCTAGAACTTCATATATGTAACTACCACTTTAGTATAAGTCAATGCTCTTAGGCAGCTTATACTATTATCTGTATTGTTGTGGTTGTGGATCATTATGAATGAGGAAAAGAAGTACCTGTATTAGTTAGAAACTTACAGACGTGAGGACAGGTTTATTCAACATATACTTGGAGTAACTAGACGACAAGGATTTGTTCATCAAATTCATCTTGATGGAAGACATGTTTTTTTTTCTGTTAATTAATTTGTTTGGTCCCGTTCCGTACGTTTACTTTTCCAGTTGATTAACTTACGCACGTAACATATATTGATAATCCTTTTCAGTTAATGAGTTTCGACTGAAACGGCACGCTTAACTTTGGATGAAATTGCATTTTCAATCGGACACTCGCACTCCGTCACTCCCTCGCTAAAAAGGTATCTTTCCTCCTAAGTATTCATAATCTTACAAATTGCCCTTATTTCGTCTTTTTTGTCTTGTTTGGTACCAATAAACAGTGACCTCACTTCACACATTCTCTTCGCTTTATCACTTTACACTTACCTATATATATATATACCCCTGAAATATGTCATATATATCATCAGCTAGCTCTCTCCAAAATCGGCTCCTTTTCAGAACAATGATCACTTTTGATCCCACTCGCGCGGGGCAGTATTGGTTAAATTGTATCTTTTCAAGCTACCAGCTCTGAGGTAAGAAAATTCAATCTTTTCTTCTATATAGATAAATCACACAAGTGATGAATCCGCTGTGTTTGATTTCTTACTTTTTAATTGGGACTAAAAGTTTTTATTCAGTGTGAGAAATTAGTTTTAAGACATCATTCTCCTTCAGTCATCTTCATTTGGCGTATGTATGATCATATACTGATATAGCATGCACCACGTAACCAACTAGCTCTTGGTTTTATATTAATATATATGGGGAATTGTTATTAACATTCCAAAAATTTCATTTTACACTTAATACTTTCTATATTAGGAAAGAAAAATACACTTGTGAGAAGTAGTGTAGAATGAGATATTTGAAGTGCCAATAACACTTCCCTATATACGTATGTATGTATATATGTATTTATATATGGAAAGAAGCTTAATATGAGTCCTCTCTTTTTCCTCAAAAAGCATAATATCAAATTGATGACCATTTTATCTTTCAAACAATAAATATTGATGAACTAAGTTTTCATTCCCACAGGTGGGTAGATTGCCCTATTAGTTAGGGCTTGATAAATTTTTCAGCGTACCATCAATGTTACTGTTATTGTTTCAATTTAACTAGGTGTTGAATTTCATCACAAAAGAGATCGATTATATTAGAAGTGTAACACCTACATATAAATTGTATATTTTTTTGGAAGTGTTATTGGCACTCCAAAAATCACATTCTATACTCCTCGCAAATGTATTTTTCCTTCTAAATATAGAAAGTTTGAAGTGTAGAATGAGAATTTTGGAGTGCCAATAACAATTCTTTTTTTTTTTTTTTTTTTTTTGTATTTCTTTGATGTGGGACTCTCTGAAAAATTGCGTGCCTCAAGTTTCATTCTATATATTATTTGTTTTCTTAGTTTGTAATTTAGTCCTAATAAATGGCCTTCATTTTCAAATCACTATGTCTCGAGTTTAAACTCTCCCTCCTTAGTATAGTTTGTAATTTAATGTAGTAATATCGCTTGATTAAAAGAAATTATTTTCAAAACCTTTTGGCATGAGTTGCCAAAAGGTTCACTCCCCATGCGAAAATAGCTCAGTACTCTATATGCAATGGAGTTAATATGCAGGAGTTTCCCTTTATTAGGAAAAAATCACATCATTGTGAAAAACCATATGCTAACTTGATGAAATTAGGACATACCTTCCGGAATATATCTCAAGTTTAATCGTCGCGCGTCGAGATCAAGAAGCATCAACAATAAGAACGCACGAAATTAGTGCCCTAGGTGTATACACCTCGGACGTAGGGTAGGGAGAGTTGGTTATATGTAGAGTTTCCCCATAGCTAGGTATCTGCCTGTACAATGATGAACCAAACATAGAGGGAGAGATTCATGAGAATGCTAATGAGGAAGAAAATCTCCTAGGCATTTCGGCTAGAATGGGACGGTCTAACCCGCCCCTCTTGACCTTTATTTATGGTGGTCGACGTCGTGTTAGAGGGTAGATGCGTTAAGTTGGAGCCCATGTCCTCATTTAATCAGCCTGATTTATGAAAATGAAGGCCCTATGTCTACCAGAGCAATCTATCATATGTAAGAAAAAACAAAATAATATATAGAATGGAAATTGAGGTAATTAAGCAATTTTTCATATTAATGGTTAATGGGTGATGTTCTCCCGCCAAATTGATTATTAGACATATAATTGCATATCTAAATATAAGTAGGAATTAATTTAATTTCATATTTTTTTTAAATGTCATATGAACTTAACACTATTATCAATTTTTCATATGAATTAAAATTTTAAACAATTTGTCATATTAACGTTTTGAAATTATTAATTTGTCATATACCTTTAATAAGTTGTGTGCCTTGCACAAAACTTGTGTTTAAGTACATTTAGGACATTTTAACTATCCTAAAAAGTTGTGTTCGATGAAACAAAAATATAGGGTCTCTACAAAATAAAAAATGAATATTATTATATAATAGAATAATATTTTTTATTCTAAATAAAAATGAAACTTAATATAATGACATGATATAATTTTGATCGAGTTTCTCTCCAATAGTATGGTCCCCAAAACACATATCACATGCTCTTGAAATATAGTTGTCCTCTATAACAATGGTAAATATCAAACTTACATTATTTTTACAAAGTTATTGCTCATCGCAAACAATGAATTGAAAATGAGGTCAAATGTCCAAAATAACCCTAAACACAAGTTATGTGCAAGTGTTTTGGATGGCAAACTTAAGGCTTAAATGTTAAAATGTTCCTTTGTTTTAGTCGTTGAGTCAATTTAGTCCGTGTGTTTTTAATTTGGCCAATTTGATCATTGTGTTTATCTCCGTTAGCCATTAAGGACATTTCCATCTAATTTTTTGTAAATATTTTTTTTATAAATTATTATAAACTTATTTGTAAAATTATAATTTATTTGATTTAAAATATTTAAAATGAAATAAAAATTAAAATTAAAAGAAAAATTATTCTCTTCTCCTCCTCCTTACCATTACCCCCTCTCTTTTCTATGTCACAACCTTAATCATTTTTCAGATTTGAAGTTTTATTTCTTATATGTGTTATTTCTCATTGATTTTCATTTTTCTGTAAAGAGAAAGGGTAATTATGTCTCATATGATTTTTCTTATGAATTTTTTAAAAGAGATTGAATGAAATGTCCTTAATTGCCTAACAGAGACAAATACAAGGACTAAGTTAGCCAAATCAAAAGCACGGGGACTAAATTGACCATATGACTATAAAACAGAGACTATTTTGACATTTAAGCCAAAACTTAATGGTGTTAGAATGAGATGAAAAATTAATGATTTAGGAAGATATGACAAAACGCTTAAAATTTTAGTTCATATGAAACTTTATAAAAATGTGTATAAGTTCATGACATTTCAAGAATTTTCCCCTTAATCAATGTTGGTGACTCATGTCACTTTATAAAGATAATATTTACTATGCTACATTGGCAAACAAATAAAAACTTACAGTTTTATTTGGGTCCGGTTTCTCACCAGATATTCATTTCTTAATTAATCTGCCTAAATTTTCAACTATCTAAGGGCTCACAAAAATTTTGAGTTTATTCAAGGGGAAGTGTTATTGGCACTCCAAAAATCTTATTATACACTCCTTAAAAGTGTATTTTTCTTTCCAAATATAGAAAGATTGAAGTGTAAAATGAGATTCTTTGAATGCTAATAACAATTCCCTATTCAAGACGTGATTTACAAAAATGTCATGGTTCACCCGAACCAAATGGTTTAACAGTCTTTAACATGTGACGAAATCTTTGTAAGACACATAAGAGAATCCTCATTCCTCACTTGTACATCATTAAACCTGACAATATAGGTATTAATAATACTATATTTGTATAAGAGATGAGAATATTTCAGACACTATGCATTTATTATTAATTATATAAGGTATATAAATCACACTGATTGGATCCGAGGTGATGCCATATATAGAGAAACAAGAGAAAGAAGAGGTGAATCTAATTAAATGAACAAGTGAGGGTCTTTCATTCCGGAAAGGATATTGATGAATTATGTTGGTCAAAAGCTGCGTAACAACTGTTTTTGGTAAATCTCGGGGATATCTGATCAAGCTCGGGCGCACATACCTACCTGCGACCAAATCTTATGCTCATCTTCCTTATATCCTGCACTGTATAATAATATTATACTGAGCTAAATACTATATATCAACTCTCTCTCTCTCTCTCTCCGCCCCCACCACCCCCCCCCCCCCCCCCCCCCCCCACAAAAAAAAATACGTACCAGTCTACCAGAGAGGAAAAAGATGCACAAATTAATATAAAAAACTGGGTAATCTCGACAACCGATGATTCCTTTTCCTTTCTGCGAGAAAGTTCAGTTTTTTCTTTTTTTCTTTTTTCAAATAAATAATTTTTTTATATATTTTTATAGATATATAGCAACATGCATGCTAGGCCTGCATTACAATATATCTTTAATCTATTATAAATTGCCAAATATATAAATATAGGGATCGAACAAATATATGAAGATGAAAGCAAACTTGTCTTTTTCGGGTTTTTTGTGGCGCAGGCCGGCAGAAAGACAAATATTTCCATTGGGTTTCCTGAGACAACTAGCTATTATGATATGTTATTTTAATTTTGAAAAGAAGAGAGGTGTCTTGTTCTGTTTCTAGTTTTGTTCGTGTATTTAATGTACTTTGGTATTAATGTACTAATTTGTTGGTATTGGCAGCGCACAACTAAGGAGTAGTATTAGAAGAAAAAAAAAAAAAGAGTAGTAGTAAATACCAATGGAAGCCAAAGCTGCATCATCAGGAGGTGAAGTAAGGCGACTTCACGTTATCTACTTCCTCAGTCGTCGAATGGGTCGCGTTGATCATCCCCATCTCATTCGGGTCAACCATTTTACTCGCAACGGCGTCTATCTGCGAGGTAGGTAGCCTTCCTTCCTTGAGATCTCTGTATCGTATTTAACGAGAATCATATGCTTGTTGATTAGTTAATCAACTAATGATGATGGTTCCTATTATTTGATTTAAAAGATGTTAAGAGGTGGCTTGCGGATTTACGAGGAAAGGACATGCCGGAGGGCTTCGCTTGGTCTTACAAGAGGTATGATTGATCGATTGATCTTAATAGAGTACTGGAGACGTTTTCCAATATCATTCTAATGAATTAGGCCAATAGCTAGCAAGTTGGCATGTACGATTTCGATTTCATTTTCATTTTCATCTGGATGGAACGACATGCGCGAATGCAGGAGGTACAAGACGGGTTATGTTTGGCAAGACTTGCTGGACGAAGACCTCATCACACCAATATCCGACAATGAATACGTCCTCAAAGGATCCGAGATCACCTCTTCCCCTTTTGGTATATATCATCATTTATTTTACACACAACGTCAAATCTTTAATATATATATATATATAATATATATATAAGGAATTGTATTAGCATTTCAAAAATCTCATTTGACACTCTAAACTTTCTATAATTAGAAAGAAAAATACATTTATAAAAAGTGTATAATGAGATTTTTGGAATGCTAATAACAGTTATATATATATATATATATATATATATATATAACCAATTTGATTGATTGATTGAATGTGCTTATCTATATAAATAGATGGTAAATGTCAATTCATATATATTTATGCTTGGAGTCCTTTCTGGCCAACTTAATTATATGTTTTAAGTCCCTTAGGTTAATTTCAATTAATTTCGCATATTCATATTTGGAATCCTTTCATGGCCACCTTAATTTTGTTGACCATTGTATTTTGTATGAAACAGATTCTCCTCCGAAAACATTTGCCGAAAATAGAAGTTGCCTGTTTAAAGATGAGGTTGAGCCACCCAATTCAAAACAAGAGGCCTCCTTTCAATTGCACCAACAAATTTATCCAAAGAATACTATAGATATCCAAACAAAAGTATCCTCTGAAATGAGCCAAGAATCACAGAGGTCTACTTTGACCGATGGATTCGATGATGCGAATGCCATCAAACTGAAACCCAAAGGAGAACGACAAGAACACAACCACTCAGCAGCTGGCAGGGACAAGTTAGAAAGCTCTTATTTTTATTCCAACTTTTTATTGAAGAGGAAGAAGAAGATTATTAACAAGGACAAAGACGCCAAAGAATTGGCTTCTTCTACAACTCCGTCTTCTTTTTCTTCCTCTGCTTCTTCTTTTTCTTCGTCTTCACATTCACTGTCTCAGCAGACGCCATTGGCAAATGGTACTACTAAGAGACATTCAAGTGCATCTTCCAACATGTTCCGCAATTTGATTACTTGTGGTGCTGTCGACACAAATGACGCTGTTGTGGTCATGTTGAATCGAGCCAATAAAACTTCCAACAAGTCTACCAGCAGCCAAGACAGTATCAAGGCTGATCATCGTATTTCAAAAGGAGATCACAAGTCTGAAGGTAGATCAACCGGAGTTTTTGGGACTTGCCGGAATCCACAGGAACTGCCGCAGCAACCCCACACTGCTAGTAGGTAAGTATGAATCAATGTAATGATTAAATTCAATTCATGAGAAAAAGTCTTTATTAAAACTGACAAAAGACTACTAATATATATATGTATTTGGCTTTGGCTTTGCTTGTGTTTGGATTTGATGCTGCAGGAAAAGCTATGATGGACAGAAAGATGCGACAAAGCAGCAAAAAGAGGGCTACTTCAGTGGCCAAAAAGCGGCTACTGCTGCTTACAGGCCCGTCGGTCGCCCGCATTGCTCGTAAGTGACTATCCCTACTCCCTCCCTCCCTCCCCTGGTTGCATTGCATACATTGATAATTTGATGGGCAAGGCTTATGTATTAGTTGATTAATGACAACTCTTACTTCCTCTACTCTGCCAAATCCAACTGAAGTCCAGTTTTAAATTAGGTTAGGTAATGGCTTACCGGCTCGTATTACACTAAATAACAATCAAACCACATCAGCACAAGGCCTGCAGTGTTTTTCTTCCAATCAAGTACCAACTAACTGGTAATCTCTCAGGTCAAATTAAGATTCAGTCTCATTGGCTTATATCAAACCAACCAACACTACTGCACTTGAAAATAAAGGGTTTGCATTAAATTTCAAAAGGTTTTTTTTAGTCAAAATAATCTCTAAGATTTGTATAACTTCTCACTTTGATTCTTAAGATTTGAAATCAAGACAAGTGGTCCCTGAAATTATTCATTATCAATCATTTTGGTCATTCCATGAATAATTATGTTAAATAAGGATTAAAATGACTAAACAACTCTCAATTTAATAAACAATAGGCCAAAATGATTTTTTTAAAAGAGGGTATTTTTGTCATTTTATTCTTATTTAATGGAGATTTTTCGCGGAATGACCAAAATGATCGATAGTGGACAAACTCAGGACCAATTCTATCGATTTCAAATCTCTCAAACCAAAATGAGGATTTAGGCAAATCTTAGAGACTATTTTGACTAAAAAGTCATTTTAGAATTATCTACAATTTCACACTCTCAAATACAACTTCAATGTTTTATTCTTACGTATTTATAAGAATAAAACAAAGAAATAAATCAAAACAATCATTAACCCACAATGACAAAGGAAAACCTATTTGATTAAAAAAAAAAAAAAAAGGAAAACCTATCTTAATATAATAATATAAAATCTGTAATAAAATCCACCTCAAAATAAATTCCCTAATTAAAACAAATTTCTAAAATACTTACCATTTAAGCTTCCATACGTGGGACCACGCATTAAGTGAGCCACACTTGTAGTTTCCTGATATGCTGAAACTAACTGTAATACTTTTGAAAGCTCAACCAATCATAATCCATTAAAACTAACGTCTCTTTTTACGTGCCTAGTTGGAACTAACGATATATTTTTGAAAACATAACTAGAGCTAGCGCCTCATTTTGGAAGTCCCAATCACCAAATCTCTTTATCCCTTAAAATATATATACATACATATATATATATATATATATATATTTTTTTTTTTTTAAATGTTTTTTCCCTTCTTTTTTCTTTCCAGTGTAACGGTAGACACCCATTCTAGATCAACCATAAATGGCCAATGTTTGTCCAAACCAAGCATCATCTTCGAATTAAATTTAGAAAAATTATAATATACTAAGGGAATTGTTATTGGCATTCCAAAAATTTCATTCTACACTCCAAACTTTCTATTTTTGGAAAGAAAAATACACTTGTGAAGAATATATAATGTGATTTTTGAAGTACTAATAACACTTCCTGTACTAAAATAAACATAAAACAATAAAACCCTCATGATAGGAAACGGATCCTACCATGACCAAAAAACACTATTTTTCCTTCTCTCTTTTCTCCAAGGCAGCGACAATTGACGTACGCCGAAATTGGGGCGGATTTCTACGAGGAAAAGTAATGAAAAAAGAGTGTTTTAAAGTCTATTAAATTGTGAACCTTTCAAGTTCTGTAGGATTAACGTCATTTTAATTTTGTTTTAATTTCTCTAAACCTTTTAGTTGTCCTAAAGTGTTGTCTTAGTTGTAACCCATTTCAATCATATTTCAATCAATTCTCAATTAATTGCAAGTAACCTTTTACCACATAGTGGTGGAAAGAAGTTAAACTCTTGCATGACTGCGTGGGTTTGACCATTGTCAGTGGCTAATCTAACATTTAATCTAACAAAATTTATCGTTTAACAAAAAAATAAAAAAATATCAATTGATCAAAATTATCTTTGGAATTTCTATCAAACTGATGGATTCCAATAACTTTGCTGCTTCAAGTATTTACAGTTGTAATCCTTACTACTATCGTGTTGTGTCAACAATAATTCCTCTTCCTTTAATTGTTTTCCTCCTTTTTATTCATGGCAGCGTAAACATTTTCTCTCTTTCATTCAATCTTCTTTCATCTTCTTCTAACAATTGTAGGCAATCATTACCCTCAGGTTCATGGCCAATAGGTGAACAAAAAAAAATTAGCCTTGTTGACCCACATGGAAGCGTTAACAGTGAATTCAACCAAGGATGAAACTCTGTTCTAATAACAAGTTGAAAGTAAAGGGTTTGCACAAAGACAAAAAAACTAATGTTAATATAATAATATAAAATCCCCAATCAAATCTACCTCAAAAATCCCTAATTAAGTGTTTGTTGATAATTAAGAATTATGCCCTCAAGTTACCCTCAATATACCAAATCATATTAGTATAAGAAGCATGTGGCCATAAGTTTACAAACTCTCCCAAAACAGTGAATGTGGTCAATGTTGGCATTCATAAAACTTGGTGACCAAGAGAACATTTATGTGGAAAATCTAAACAAGCGACTAAAATTCGAAACACTTGATGTTAATGCAGGCAGTGCAGGAAGCTGTTTAAGCCAGAAAAATTGCACTCACACATGAAATCGTGCAGAGGAGTGAAAGCTGAAACGAAGATACCTGAAATGGGATCAAGAACTTCAAACTCAGAAGAATCAGCTTCAGCTTTCTTGACCTGACCAGCTGAATATGCCCAGTAATGACTGATCATCAAATATACTCTTGCCTGCACTCTGTAGTCAGGATGAAAGGCAGGAGCCAATTTTCGTCTCTTTTCTTCCTTTTCCTTCTTTCTTTACCCTTATGTAAATATAAAAGGCATAGTGCATTGCATTGACTGACTTAAAAAAAGAAAGAAATATTCTAGTTGCATTGCATTGTTCTATTTCCAAATTTGTTGACAATTCGTCCACCTTTAGAAAACAAATGAGAATTGTACTGTATTTTACGTACACCATCACAGGACAAAGGGACAGACTTAGACCTGACATTCGTGTCGTGTTTTCTGCGTTCGTATCGTTTTCGTGTCATACCCGATATCTTAATGGGTCGTGTCGTATAACACCCATTAAAATAAACAGGTAAAATGACCCGATCCGAAATCGACCTGATAATATTAACAGGTAATATGACTCGATCCGTTACCCGTTAAGGAAAATATATTTTAAACCAATAAATAATCAAATGAAAAACATAATACTAAATAAGTATATACATACCATATAGTTACATCCAAAACATAAAATCGGATTTTCTTTTAAGTATATTTTCACTTACCTAAATTGATAAAATGGTAAAATTAGAAAATATTGGAATAGAGAAGGGGTTTTTTTCGTCCAAAAAAGTTCTAATAATATAAGTGAAATAGAATCCAATGGTACATATTTACTCTCATTTATCTTACGGTTGTTATTTAAGTAAAGTCTTTAATTATTTAATAATTAATGTAGAAGTGTAAAAAATATAGAAATAAAATATCTAAACGCTCGTAATGACAAACTTTACAACTTTCATAAAGAGCTTAACTTCAAAATTCGCCACTATAATCATATAAATCATAGATCAAAATTTAACCGTTGATTGTTATTTACATTTACGCTTCATTGTTCTCATCAAATTTTGTTTTTTTCAGATTTTCTTTTTTGAAAACATGATCTATTAGAGGATGTAGGAAGATGAATGGTTTGGATCATTGATATTATATTTAGAGTTTTACGGTTAGTGAAAATATTGCTTAATGTTTATAAAGTTTCTACAAACTATATGACATTGATTCACATTTCAGTTAACCATAAATATAGAAACATGATATCAAAGATTTGAACCTTTCATCTTCTTACATCTGCCAGATGATCATGTTTTAAAAAAAAGAAAATTAAAAAAATGAAATTCAGTAAGAAGAATAAAGCATAAATGACAATCGACGGTTAAATATAAATTTAAGGTTTATGGATTATAGTGTTGGATTTCGAAGCTGATCCCTTCATGAAAGTTGTACAGCTTGTCACTATGAGTGATTGTATATTTATTTTTTTTACGTTTTTTAGACTTCTACAATAATTATTACTAATTTTGCCCTCAAATAAAAAACATTATTCATGAGGGTTTGAAGGATTTTAAAAATCTAAACGATAATGTAAGTGTTACCATTAACTACTTGCGGAGGAATAATGATGAATCATGAGTGTTTATATATTCTTTCACATTTTTCATACTTGTTTGTATGTCTTCTTAGTTCTTGTCTATACAGATATTATACTAGTTTATTTTAATTTTGGACAACATGTTAAGTAAAATTTATCCTAGTAATGATAATAAGGAACTCTCATAATAAAAATAAATAATGATTATAACTTTTTTTTATTTTTTTATTTTTTTTAACTTATATAGAATAAGGGAAGTATTATTGGCATTCCAAAAATCTCATTCTACACTCCTCACAAGTGTATTTTTCTTTCCAAATATAGAAAGTTTGGAGTGTAGAATGAGATTTTTGGAGTACCAATAACAATTCCCTAGAATAATAATACAAAACTGTATATTTAATATAGAATATATTGTATATATTAATATGGCTATTGTATTTTATAATAAATCTTTTAGTAATTAAACTTTAAAATTATAAAAATAATTTTTTTCTTAACGGGTCAAAACAGGTTACCCACGTGTTACCCGCATGTATATCCGTTAAGAACCCGTTCTTAACGGATCACCCAGTAATGACTCGATTAGTTATCGTGTTGATCCGAAACTTACTATTTCATGTCGTGTCACCGTGTCGTGTCAGAAACTGTCGGGTAAGACAGACCCAAAACATGCATGCGTGTGTATGTTTTAGTAACTACTACGGCTACGTGAACTTACTCTCTAATGGACTAAGAAATTTAAAAGGATTATGTTTCATCCCTTTACACAGCGCAACGACTCCACAGCAAGCCACATCGAGCAAGCATGAAATTAATTGAACAAAACTGTAGTCTAATCTGATACCATATTCCCAGTGTAATATATAGATTTCAATTACACACTTGAACAACAGAAGAAATGCCCAATTGCAGTCTGATACTTTGTGACTGTCAGCTTCCTTGAATTAGTACGAGACTAAGAGGTAAAGATGAGATTGTCAAAAAGGAAACAGAGAAACACAATGCGTAATGGTAAAAGAGAAGGTATTTGGAGATGAAGGTGACAGTTCTGTTCCTGCTAGTGGCATATATCTAATTACTTGATACAACGGAGTCAATATGTTCAAGTACAAACTCATAGAGCTGCTTCTGCAGGCTCTTTCTTCTCTTATCTACGTAAATCCTTCCCTTCATTAAGTCATCCAACCATAAATTCACCCTTTTGAGTTGCACTAGCAAACGTGCAATCTCAGGGATTCCTTCCTCTTTGTTCAATCTGAACCCCACGTTTAGTGAATCCTCCAAAGTACTTTAGAAACCACTCACAACAAACAAAAAGTAGCTTTTCTGCCAACCTTGCTGTCTTTTTTAATCTGTTTTCTTTGGGGTACTGGTCCCTTTCAGTGCTCATTTTCTTCAAAGCTCGTGGACGATTTAGTTTGGTTTGGGGTGTACTATTTTCTAGATTAGATTCCGCTGGAGCATTCTCTACTACAGCATAATGATACTTCTCACCATTTGGAATTCCACCATTTCATTGTGCTCTGAACAAACTGAATTTCAAAATATTAGCCCCTAAGGCGGCTTCCACCCATGAAGTGGCATTCGTGCTAGTGGAAGTATTATACACATGTGACACCCAAGCCTGTCGGCCCTTTAAACTGCTTGATTTAACATCAGGGTGGCTTGTGTTGAACAAGGAATCAACAACCATGGCTGCTCCCTCCATGTTCTGGTGGAGGTTCAAAAATTTCTCCGTCAGTGGTCCTGCAGAAACTTTGTGAGAGGACTCTGAGTTCTGCAAACATGCTGGAAAACAGAAACTTAGTCATCATTTCTTCGCATGATAGATAAAGAAATAAAATAAAAAAGAATTTAGAATATTTAAGGAAGCCAACTATAATCTAGATGAACTTCTCTGTTCCATTATACAGTTGCTAACTTACGACATATAGAGGGGGAAAAATAACATTAAGCTCAACATTTTTTCTGAAGACAATTGTACAGCAGCAGAAATCTCATTAACTGCATGTAAAGGTGGAGTTTTTTGTTGTACTTGTAAACCACTGCAGCAGCATCGTAACTGTCTCACTCAAAACTGTCTACATTCTAAACCAACAAAATAGATCTAACCCAACCCAAATTATATGTAGTTTATTTAATAATGCAATCATCGTCCAAGAATAAGGACCAAATATGTGACAGGTTCCATCCTGCATGTCTATATTTCTATTGAACAGAATAATTTGCAATACGCTTACCCCCATTCTAATCCTTGTAAAAGTACTGGGGAAAAAGACAATTCCGTTGCAAGAGCAAAAGCACTACGTTTGCTAATATACTTAACATAAATACTTACACCAACAAAAATAAAAATTACACAGAAAGCATAGGTCCGTAAAACACAAAGTACATACCACATGCAATGAATGACACCCTCTGAAGCTGATGCTTCTTCTAGCGCACGTACAGCACCAAGAAATGTAGCATCCCTATGAAAAATAGCTCCCTGTAATGGTGAAGAAGAACAATAATACAGAAAATAATGAAAGAACAGAACCAGATGGTGGAAGCCAATAGAGGATATAAACTTCAACTTGATTGCGAACCTTTCCAAGATCACTAATGATAGATGGGAGCACTCTCCGTGAAATCTTTTGATCCGACCAAGTTTTGCAAGTTCGGGGAAACCTGACAAAGTGGTTTGGAAGAGTCTCCTCTAGAACTTAAATTCTTTCTTGGAAGACTTGTTCTTTGAATTTGGTGAAGGGATCTCGGTTTTGTTTTTCAGTGGTGGTGAAAGGCTCAAAGTTGGATGCTTATGAGGTGCTTTAATCTTAGTAAAAAGCTTCTTATCCGAAACCTGCAACACAGCACCTGGTCATCAGCTTCATAAAAACAAGAAACTGAAATAAAAAAACCCAGAAGCTATGTATGTCAATGAAACAATCAAATTCTAATAATTAAGTTTTTAAAAACTGATATCAGGACAGAGAAAGGTTTCATTTTCCCTCTCATGTTAGCCAAATTGTTTAAGGCTGCCTTTTAACTATTCCGTTTTATCTGATTGCATGCTCAAAAAGTGACTTGAAATGAAAACCCTTTATTTGATTGATTTGAAATAACACAATTTTCTTAAGAATTTAGACATTCTATTTCAATAATTAAACACATCTGGATTTCATCAAAACACAAAAATTGTTATTGTAAAATCTCATTAGACAAATTACACTAAAAATTCAAACCCAAGTAATCTTCTTAAATCACCAATCAAAATACAGCATAGATCTTCCAGATGTGTGATAAAGGATTTCGACCACGAACTATTTTCTTACTCCTGCTTTACTTGCTTCAGAAGACTTCAATGTTTTTACTGATTAGAACGAATCTTTGTACACAAACATGGAGAAAGCCTCCATTCAATTATCAAATTCCAAGATAAAGCCTAGCGAGAAGAGTCACTAAAATGCAGAAGAATATAAACTGTTTGTACCCTTTTTTTAATGTTGAAAATAAACTATTTGTACCACATTTCATCAATCTGAAACTACTGAGTACCAATCAACTTTATACCTGCAGGGACCTAAAGAATTCGTGTTGAGACACCCCTGCCAGAGCACAAGAGTTTATCT